TAGCAGAGAGAGAGAGAGAATTAATTCCAAGTCCCCTTTTCTGTCCTCAGTCTCTCGGACCCAGGTTCTGAGAAGATCCGCTTCCCCACCTTCGCCGCCCACGCAGGCTAGTCCCTCCTCCTCGCTCCGGCTTCCCGCCGCTAGGCGCTCGTGGGTGGGGCTTTCCTGGGGGCGGGGCTCATGCAAGCAGGGCGGGGCGTCGGGGCTTCTTCACTGGCTGGCGTTTCCGAGGCCCGCAGCCACCTAGCGACCTCTTTTCTTGGAACGCGAGGCGCGGGAGGTCCCGTCCATGGACCGATCCGCGGTGGCGAGGGTGGGCGCGGTAGCGAGCGCCAGCGTGTGCGCCGTCGTGGCGGGGGCGGTGTTGGCCCAGTACATTTTCACCTTGAAGAGAAAGACGGGCCGGAAGACCAAGATCATCGAGATGGTGAGTATGGGGGCTCGTCGCTACGGAGCGCTTAGGGGGCCGCGGGTGGTCCGGCCGGCCTCGCCTTCACATGCCGACCGCTGCTGGAATGAGAGGGGCCCACAGGGGAGCCGTTCGCCCCGCGTGCGGCCACCCCGCGGCCAGGTGACCTGGTTTGGACCTTCGACGGTGGCGCTCGGCTTCCCATGGGCTTTGTTATGTCTCCATTTGAAACAAAAAGGCAGCAAAATAGGTGATTCGGAAACAAGCTGCCTCCCGCTGCAAAAACCCGTTTTATCGAGAAATAAATGGACGTTTCTGGGCAGATTTCTCCTTCCCTCATCCCGCGTCAAACTGTTGCAACAATCCCATTCTGATGAGGGTTTTTTTTTTTGCATCGTGGGTAGGATGAGTTCGATTATGACAAGGTGTAACTTCTCAGTGGTTAATTAAAGGAATGCCAGTTAACCCAGCTGGAGTTCAAAGTAGTTTATTTTGTATTTGAATGTTATTCCTTCTTGTCTCAAACTGCCGGGATGTACCTTCGTGTTCATTTTTTCCCCGCAAGCCTCTTACATAACGTTTTAGAAATTTGTTTCCAATTTTATTGTAAGACAGTGTTTGAAGAATTCCTCTTGAGGTACATTATAAGCAATATTTTCTCCAAAGTTGGGGATGTTTTTAGGTTTTTGTTTTTTAATTAGAGCCCACTCGTCAAGACAGTTTTCTCAGTGAGTTGCATTCTAATATACTTCCTGGAGTGAAGAATCCCGTGTATACTCCGGATGAGGTACTACACGCGTGAACTTCTGGGGTCAAGTATTTTTGAAAAGTCAGTTGACAGTTTACCGCTGTACTAAATAATATCATTTTAGGTTCATGTTAGAATACTTAGCCCAATCATATGTTCTAATTGATCAAAGAAACTTTTTGTCCCGTTGTTTGCTATTGGCCCTAGGTTGAATACAGAAATATTTTTCCATAATTAAAAGTAAAAAAAAAAAAATGTTAATTCCCACATATCTCATATGCCAATAGTTTTGTTTATCGGTAGGGTTAAATTAGTCTTAGATTATTATTACATAGTCTTTCTCCATCTCTGTACTCATAGCAGCAAATGTTTTCATCTCAAAAATTTCATTTTGTTTATGTTGCTGTCCTGCATAGAAAACTTTAGTGGCTTCCTTTTGTTCCAAACCAAAAATGTATAATACAAATGTGGGGAAAAAACCCACATTGCCATACCTTCTTGTATGTACTTAGACTGTGGATTAGTCTATCACTTCTCCTCGAAACTTGGTAAAGGTAAAAATCAATGCTTTCACAAAATCCACAATGAAGCCATTATAAGAACAGTTTGCCATCTTTGTGAAAATAATTAAGGCCCATTGTTTGTAGTATAGAAATCAGTCAATCTTTATATATACATAATGTTATATTAATTCAGGCATAGGGACAAGTAGTCTTGTGGCTACAGCATCATATACAGATGTGTATTTGTTTTTGTTTTTTAATTTATTTATTTTTGGCTGCGTTGGATCTTCGTTGCTGCGCGCGGGCTTTCTCTAGTTGCGGTGAGCAGGGGCTACTCTTGGTTGTGGTGCCCAGGCTTCTCATTGTGGTGGCTTCTCTTGTTGCGGAGCATGGGCTCTAGGGAGGGTGGGCTTCAGTAGTTGTGGCACGGGGGCTCAGTAGTTGTGGCTCGCAAGCTCTAGGACACAGACTCAGTAGTTGTGGCGCACAGGCTTAGTTGCTCCGCAGCATGTGGGATCTTCCTGGACCAGGGATCGAGCCCCTGTCCCCTGCATTGGTAGGCGGATTCTTAAATTTATTTATTTTATATTTATTTTTGGCTGTGTTGGGTCTTCGTTTCTGTGCGAGGGCTTTCTCCAGTTGCAGAGAGCAGGGGCCACTCTTCATCGCGGTGCGCGGGCCTCTCACTGTCGTGGCCTCTCCCATTGCGGAACACAGGCTCCAGACGTGCAGGCTCAGTAGTTGTGGCTCATGGGCCTAGCCACTCCACGACATGTGGGATCTTCCCGGACCGGGGCACGAACACTGGTCCCCTGCATTGGCAGGCGGATTCTTAACCACTGCACCACCAGGGAAGCCCGGTAGGGGGATTCTTAACTACTGTGACACCAGGAAGCCACAGATGTGTATTTGGAAGGAAGAGATGGGGAATGTGGGCAAAGAGGCCAAATTGTAAAGGAATCTTGTAAAGCCATTCTAAAGGCTTTGCCTATAGGGGGCCATGAAAGGTTTTTAAACAGGATAGTTGCATGTTCAAAACTATATTTTATACAGATCACTTAGACAAGATAGGGTGAAAGCGGAGAGCCTGGAAAGAAGGAAATAATTTAGGAGGTTGTTGGCAGTATTCATTGTGAAAGATGATTAGGGTCTAGACTAGGAGACGAGCGATCAGAGGATAAACATTTCAGAGGTAAAATCAGCAGGACTTAGTGGCACTACAAACTCTGGACTCATACAAACCTAGCTTTGAATGTAGGCTTTCTCATTTATCAAGCTGTGTGATCTTGGGCAAGTTATTTAACTCCTCTGAGTCTGTTTCTTCATCTATTAATTGGAAGATGATAATACTACCTATTTCATGGGATAGTTGTGAAGATTACATGAAATAACACAGTGGACGTAATTGCTATCATTTGTGAGCTTATCATTATTTATGATCATTAAATAAAGAGATTAATCACAGGGGTGGGGGGGATTACAAGCTAAATGGTGATACTGGCTACATTATTAGCCAAGATAGAAAGGGGGAAAGAAAGAGGAGGCAGGGACAATGTAGAACAATAAGTTCACTTTGTCCTGTTTAGCCAAGTAGAAATGTCCATAAAATAGTTAAAATAAGTAAAATGCTTAGAAAAGCATTTGTTGCCATATATTGGCCCATAGTAATATATAGTATATACATTACCTGTTATTATTAGCAACAGCAACTGAAAATGTAGTGCTGGAGTTGCGAAGATAAACTGGGACTAGAAACTACTTTCTCAAGTGTCTAGCCTCTTGGCAGTAAATAGTGGAAATGATAATAATTTCTCACCCATAACTTTGCAGCAAAATGAAAAAAGAAAACTTGAGAATACTGACATATAGTGGATGTTCAGTAAAGAAAACAGAGATCTCAGAGATGGGGTAACAGGACATGTTTCCAAAAGAAGGGGCAGAGGCAGAAGTGTCAGTCTGCACAGATCAAAAATTAACTGAAAGCCTTGTGGGTTGGACAGCCACTAGAAGAACAATGGAGTGAAGAAGACCAGAAAGTGATTGTTGAGTACAAAAATACTTGTGCTGTCAGTGTACGTTTGGTTTGGTTTTGGTTCTGAATGGTTGGCACGTGACCATGTTGGCAGGCAGGATGGCAGTGAAAAACGAGTGCTTAAAGAAGTGAGAGAGGAGGAAGGGAGTTCCCTGGTGGTCCAGTGGTTAGCACTCGGCTGCCATGGTCTAGGTTCAGTACCTGGTTGGGGAAATAAGATCTCCCAAGCCCCACAGCTTGGCCAAAAAAAATGAGAGAGGGGGAGAGGGAAAATCAAGCTGAGTTCTAGAGGAGATAGGAAGGTAGGGGATAGAGAACACAGGTGGACAGATGCCTTTTTAAAGGAATAAGGAACATCCCTCTCTCTAAGAGTGAATAGTAGCCCCTCGCTATCCATGGGGGATTGGTTCCAGGACCCGCTTGGATACCAAAGTCCAAGGATGCTCAAGACCCTTTTATAAAATGCTGTAGTATTTACTTATAACCTATACACAACCTCCTGTATACTTTAAATCATCTCTAGATTATCTCTAATACCTAATACAATGTAAATGGTATGTAAATAGTTGTAAATACAATGTAAGTGCTATGTAAATTGTTGCCAGTAAGCAGCAAATTCAAGTTTTGCTTTTTGGAACTTTCTGGAATTTTTTCCCCCACATATTTTCAGTCCTTTGTTGGTTGAATCGCTGATGTGGAACTGACCGATATGAATGGCCGACTGTACTACTCACTGATTTATAGCATCCACTTATTTCTGCATATTTTAATTTACATTATGTCTTATTTTCAGCCCTGCACTGTCTCTACTTACTTTGTTCTTTACTTCTGTCCAGTTGACTTAATTTCTCCTACTAAATGGCACCTCTTTCCAATTTTTATATATCAACTGTTTTCTTTTTTGTTTCTTTTGTATTACCAGAATATATTCTGGTTTTACTTTTTACCAGCAGATTACTTATTTTTCTCCAATAGAAAACTAATGACAAAAAAAGATGAGATGGTTTAATCTTATTCAGTTCTTCTCATATCCTTTATTAAAGGTACAAACTTAGTTATAAGATAAATAAGTACTAGGGTTATAATGTACAACGTAATGACTATAGCTAATACTGCTGTAGGATATATAGGAAGGCTGCTAAGAGATTAAATCCTAAAAGTTCTCATCACAAACAGAGACTTTTTTTTTTGGCTTTCTTATTGTATCTATATGAGATGATGGATGCTAAGTAAACTTACTGCAGAAATCATTTCACAATATATGTATGTAAAATCATTATGCTGTATACCTTAAATTTATACAGTGACATATGTATATGTATATATTGTATAAATACAACTTATGTATATTTATAGAGTTATATCTCTATAAATTTAGGGGTGGGGAATTCTCCCAAGGTGGAAGTATCTAACAAATGAAATAAAATGGAAGCACAAAACCAGAACAAATGTATAGTCTCAACACTATTCCCTAAAGAGCAACAAAGAGGGTGGAAATTATTTGGACAGCAGGAATAGGAGGGATGGAACTGTCACTGGAAGTTCCCCAACCAGTTAAAATTGTCATTTTTAATTTAAACACATCTCAAGTACTTATGGCTTCCTTGTGAACATCAGGAGTTATTCCTTAAATAGCTGGTGCTGTTTTTGAAACTTCAGTGTGTTTCCTTCCTGGAGATAAACTTCTAACAAAAACTTCTTCCTTTCTTCTAAAGATAATATCAAACGTTTTCTGGGTACTATTCTAAGTGGAAAGCCGACTATTGAGTCTATATTTAGATATATTTAGAAAAGGGAGGGGGGGGAACCAAGATTCAAACAGCTGCTTTAGTGGATCAGCACTATCACATAGGCTTTTAAAATATTTCTATAACTCAACTTTCATCTAATTTATATCAGTACAGAAATTTATGACCTTTTAGCACCTGTTTTGAGTTCTTGATTTGTTCTGTGAAGCATATTCCCTGAACTCCTGTGGCATTTCCTGATGATTTCTCATAATTTAGCAATTTATGTACTCTTATATTGTTTACTGTAATGTATATTCTTGAAGAGTCTGGATTGGTGCATAGTTCTTTGTCACCCTTTTTTATTAATTGTACTTGACTAAGAGAAACAGAGACCCCAAATCAGTGGCTTTATTAAACAGTTCAGGTTTTATTTTTTTATTGTAACGAGAAGTCCAAAAAATAGGCAGTTGCTGGTGTTAATTAGAGGGTACAAGGATATGAAGAGGTCTTTGAAATGTCCTTGGCTTTTCTCATGGTCACAAGATGGCTGTTGTAGTCCTGGCCAACATCTCCATCTTCCAGGCAGCAGAAAGGAGGAGGCAGGGAGGAGAATACTTATTTAATAAGCAAAACTTTCTTCTTGCATGTCACTGGAGGGAACAGTATCGTACGGTCATCCTAACTGTAAGTGAAGATGAGGAATTTTTTTTTTTTTTTGATTGAGCAACTTGCCACCCTCTGACAAAATTGAGATTCTATTAGTAAGAAGAAGAGGAGGGTGTGTATTAGGTAATTACCGGTCTACCATACCACAGCACAGTGCCCATTCTTTTTTCATATCATTGACTATTCAGTAAATATTCAATATTTAATCAAATGAAAACACCTGTATATAATATAATATTACCAGTGGTCAGTAGGCTGGTAGAAAAATAGAGCATTCCAACTATTCCAAGTATTTGGTAATACAGCAGTAGAGAATACAAATTCTGAATAGCTTTGATCTTCTGTCCACCCCAAGAGTAAAAATTTATTCATTCACACCTGAAATATCTAGATCTTAAACAACTCCTGCACATGACCACTGCCATCATACATGCTAATGAGATTTAGAAGCTAATCTCCCAAATATGTCACAACTAGCTTAAAAGCTAAAGTCCTAACAGTACTTCTAGAATGAATGAATATAAATGTCTTGAGAGAGAGATCAACAGAAGGCTTTGTGGAGTTCAAAGGAACAGGAGATGACATTGGGTAATGTTCGATGTATGTGGTGGTATTTGAGGGGTAGCAATCATGATTAGTCCAATTTGAATAAAATATATTGTCAAATAAGGAAAATACATTAAAATCTTAACTTTGGCAAAGAAAATATCCAAGGTTATCTTGAATCTCCAAATTTGGAAGTATGGAAATGTTTCTACCAGGCATATGACTTTGTCTTTTCAAAGCACATTTGTCATGTTTCCTGTGTGTTATCCTCAAGCAGCAAGTTAACCACATTTTCAACTTCAGTGAAAAGTGTGATCTCTTATCTAGTGAGGCATTTTTATATTAGCTATAATAGTTCCTGAAAAAGTTTTAGCTTTACAAAATTTTTTTTTGCTTATTCCTTTTGTTGTGAATTCATTTACATGACAGACAGCCACCCTTGAACCAGATACTAATATTTTTAATTTATTCAAGAATTTTGTTTTCTGGCTAAAAGCTGTCATATCCTTAGATCCTTTTACTTTCTTCATTTAACAAGCTCCCCCCCCACCCTACCCCACCCCATGATTCTGAGGCTTGCAAAAGTTTGAGAACCATTGAAGTAAACAATTCAAATACTTGCCTTCAGCAAAATTACAAATTTTACAAGTCACAAGACTTCCAAGTCTTGTGCTCACAAATAGTGAAAATTGGGGCTGCCAGAAATTACTGTGTGAAGAAGAGAAAGCAGAGTGATGAGGATGTAGAAAAATGGGCACTTTCATTTACTCTGGAGGTGGTATACATTGGTTAAATAAATAACAGTGCATGGTTAAATTATGGTGCATTTGTATAATAAAATATTGTGCAGCTTTGGAAACAAAAAAGTAAATCTGCATGAGTTGACATTTTAAAAAGCTCAAACGAGTTGGCCAAGAGGCACATGAAAAGCTGCTCAACATCACTAATTATTAGAGAAATGCAAATCAAAACTACAATGAGGTATCACCTCGCACCAGTTAGAACAGGCATCATCAGAAAATCTACAAACAACAAATGCTGGAGAGGAAGTGGAGAAAAGGGAACCCTCTTGTGCTGTTGGTAGGAATGTAAATTGATACAGCCACTATGAAGAACAGTATGGACTCCTTAAAAAACTAAAAATAGAATTACCATATTACCCAGCAATCCCACTACTGGGCATATACCCAGAGAAAACCATAATTCAAAAAGACACATGCACCCCAATGTTCATTGCAGCACTATTTACAATAGCCAGGTCATGGAAGCAACCTAAATGCCCATCAACAGACAAATAGATAAAGAAGATGTGGTGCATATATACAGTGGAATATTACTCAGCCATAAAAAGGAACGAAATTGGGTCATTTGTAGAGACATGGGTTGATCTAGAGATTGTCATACCGAGTGAAGGAAGTCAGAGAAAAACAAATATTGTATATTAATGCATATATGTGGAATCTAGAAAAATGGTACAGATGAACCAGTTTGCAGGGCAGAAATAGAGACACAGATGTAGAGAACAAACGTATGGACACCAAGGGGGGAAAGCGGTTGGGGGGTGGTGGTGGTGGTGTGATGAATTGGGCGATTGGGACTGACGTGTATATACTGATGTGTATAAAATGGATGACTAATAAGAACCTGCTGTATAAAAACTAAATAAATAAAATAAAATTTTAAAAAAACAGAAGCTCAAATGAGGGGGAAAATAGCAAGTTGGAAGACAGTTGTGGTTCCAAAAGAGATACATGTATATGCTTGTTATTGGAAATTCTTGAAAAACTATATTAGAAGCTGTTTATAGTTGTTGCTGGTGAGAGTCAAACTTGGGAGAATGAGACTGTGGAGGAAGCCTTCAACTTTTTCATCCTTTAACGTTTCATACTGTTTGAAAGAACATGAGCATGTATTTTATATATTTTTAAAAACTGGTTAGTTAAAAGAAATAACATTATAAAAAGTGTGTTGGGACCACATTGTAGAAGCATCTTTATTATCAGGTGTTTGTAATTAATTTGCTAAAGAGCCTTTGAGTTTGTTTTTCTAAAATAAATAAGATCTGGAATGCATTTTAGTATGAATAACCTGGTAGCTGAGGTACACTGAATTAGCATTACTAGGACCAGGAGGAGAGAAGTATAGGGGAGGAGAAAATAATTTTCCCTCCACCTTTCTAAATTCTCCACTGGGGACCCCATAACAAGACAAACTAACAAGAGAAAAACAAACGGAAGTTCATTAACCTGTACACATGGGCGATACCAGGGGAAAATGAGTAACTTCTGGATGCCTTAGAATTATACCATCTAAAGCTAAAGACAAAAGAACTGTGTGGGAGCCTGTTAAGAGTTGCGACAGAAGAGGAGTATGGCAAGCCTGACCTAGGGTTGATACACAAATTTAAGTGCATTCTCCATTAATATGTTTCTTGTGCTTTACTCATCTTCTCTTCCTGGTACAAAGGGAGACACACAAATGGAGATGTCCTTCATAAATGTAAATTTCCATTACAAAAAGGTAATTTCTACTCTGTTTTCAGAGCTTCTCTTGTGTCTGCTGTTTCTTTGAGATAATCATCTCGAAATAATCTTTATGCCAAAGAGGTACACCTTGGGGTGGCAAACCTGCCACTCTGGATGAGCAGGAATTAAAATAAGCCTGAAGTAAAGAGAATGACTATGCTCTCTAGACTGCTGTGGGAGCAGTTCAAAGAGGAGGACAGAAAGAGGATTGCAGAGGTGAAATCTACAGGATTTGAAAGGGAGCAGAATTTGTAACTCCAAAATATGCCTCCGTGGCATTAAGGATTATTTTAGGCTGATTATTTTTTAAAAAAAAACAGCTGACACAAGAGAAACTCTGAAAAGCAAGTTACCCTTTGATAAGAACAATTTACACTTATAAGGGAAATCTCCATTTGTAGGGGTGTCTACCTCTCTCTGTCAGAAAGAGGGCAACAACTGAATATATATATATTATATAAGACCTCTTAAAGGTCTTAACTCCACGTGACAACCGTACCCTTATTTACTGAGCTTTGCCTGAAAACCTGGCTTTCCCCTGCCCAGCATCTTTTGTCTTTAGCTAGAGATGGTATTTAAGGCGATGGCTTGGGCCATTTTGAGAGTTAACTCAGTTTTCCTGCGTATCTCTCATGTATACAGGAAGTATACTGTATATGTTATTCAACTTGTTTTTCTCAATCTGTCTTTTATTACAGCAGAGTCTCAGCCAGGAACCTAGAAGGATAGAGGGAAAATCACTTTCCCTCCCTCACAGATTTTATAATTTTGCCAAGTGTTTTGGGTTATCCTTAATTTTTCACAGCAGTTTGAATGTTCCCTATAATTTATGTTAAATCATTTCCATATATTCCTATTTTACTTGTTTTTAAAATAATTATTAAATTAATAATTATTAATATTAATAATTATTATTAAATTAATAAGCATACAGAGGGACTTCCCTGGTGGTGCAGTGGTTAAGAATCCTCCTGCCAATTTAGGGGACACGGGTTCGAGCCCTGGTCCAGGAAGATCCCACATGCCATGGAGCAGCTAAGCCCGTGTGCCACAACTATTGAGCCTGCGCGCCACAACTATTGAGCCTGCGCACCACAACTACTGAAGCCCATGTGCCTAGAGCCCGTGCTCCGCCACAAGGGAAGCCACTGCAAGGAGAAGCCCACGCACCGCAACGAAGAGTAGCCCCCGCTCGCCGCAACTAGAGAAAACCTGCGCACAGCAACAAAGACCCAACACAGCCAAAAATAAATAAATAAATATATTAAAAAAAATACAGAGAATCTGAAATCCTATTTTAATCTTTATTCTTCTTTTAATTATAGGTTGTAATTTATATCTTCATGTAATAACTAATTTGAAATCTAATGTCATGAACCTTTCCTGATAGGTTTTCACCCTTTAAAAAAACAGCCATCAGGGAAATTATACAATCCTGTTTTTCTGTCAGCAGGTGGCAGACTTCTCCCTCTGCTATGGCACGGTGCTACATTTCTAAACTATTTACCTTCCTTATTAATGCACTTTTATGTTTACCATCTATTTCTTAAACCTGAAGGGGAGCAGAATATGCCACCCCGAAATGTGCCATTTTGGCATGTGGATTATTTGGTGCTGAAGGCAGTCAAGACTCAGCAGACTCAGGAAAGGCTTTTTGCCTCCTCCTGAACTGCCTAAAAATTTAGAAAGGGGTCCTGTACCAGGAAGAGAGCTATTACCAGAGATCACATTTTTCATCTGAGAGACTTATCTGCATAGCAGGACAAATATTTGTTTACCAAACGTTTGCTCTTCCCCTCTTCTGTGAATTGCCTTCCTCCCCTTTAAAGCCCCAGACT